ACAAGCCCGACATTTATCACGATACAAGCAGCCTGGATCTTCGGCATGATCCTCGCAAAGAACGTGGCTATCAGCCCGTGAACAACGACGCAGCCCACGTAAGTACCGTACAAGATGGGTCTGGAAGCAGACCAATTCCCATCGCGGGCGATGGAGATTATTGCAAGCAGCATTGTAGCGAATCCGTCTACACTGTCAGTAATAACGACCAGCATGCGGACGTCTCAGCTCACAGTCGATAGAGCAGACCCCTCCTATAAGCCCGATAGTATTGCTATATCCAACCACGAAGCTCAAAGGGTTCTTCCATTTTTCGCCGCTGTAATAGTGCGTCCAGAAATAGAGGCCTCCGGTAGTGGGCATGGCGGATGCAAGGTCAGCCTTGTTTATCAACAGTATTCAGTATTCATACTTCAGATGAATGAAGATCAACTTACCATAGCTAACCCCACGATGAAAATAAACACGCTCGCAGCAAACCACCCTACATATATGGTCACTCACCAAGCTCGGACTGCAGGACTTAAAGAGAGTCCTTACCCTGGCCAGCGTCAGCCAACATCATCAGGTCATCAGATCGGGATAGATAAACATACCCAAACCATGCCCACTGGGCCAGCAGGTATCGAGAACGACAGGGTAGATGCAATTGACGGCAACAGTCCCATGATACTGAAGGCAATGGCAAAGACCTCTAACGTCGAGTAATGCCGCCGTAGCTCTTGCTTGTAACCCAGTGTTGCTTCTCATATTAGCAGCAGGGCTCCGCATGCGAGGACTAGCAGAGAAAGGCTCACCCAGAAGCTCCGTATCATCCCCATTAATGGGGGGACCGGCGGTCTCTGTCCGAACAGCTTTCTCGGACTTTTCTGTCATGGCTCTGAATAAGTTTCGCAGGATATCGACGTATACGAAGAGATCATTTCAGATCGGGGAGGGTGCAGATATAAGTAGGCTTAATTGAGATAAGCAAATCGCTCGGCGATTTCCAGCGGACTTGTCCTGGACGGTCGGCATCTGGAGGCAATGGAAGGGTTTGGCTTTATCAGTAAGGAGGGGTTTCACCAGTCCCCATCGAGGTCACCTGTTGGAGATGCACGGGACCCTTGCATTGATACTCTTTTAGGAAGGTCGGTTGAAGGCCGGGCCCCGGGCTCGGGCTCTGGGAGATAGTGGAAGTCAAGGATGCAGGATGATAGGAATGATAGGGAGTCCGTCCTACCATAGCTAGTCTGACGACTACTCCTCACCCGTCAGACGCCTGGCGTAAACCTTTTCTAGGACTGGAACTTAACTACGCAGGCCTACTAACGCCGCTACCTAGACACGTCCCAGGAATCGGCCGATCACCGCCAAATCCGTACCTAAGTAGTACAAGGGGAGTAAGAAATCCGAAGAAGCCGAAAACACGCAAAAGTCCAACAGATCCATTCATAAACATACACGAAGCATAGAATCTAAACTGCACCAGGTCCCTTATGGTTTGACTGATCGAGAAGAAGACGGGGCTTAATGTAATCTTCATCCAACTGTCGGAACCAAGCAACATGGTCTCCCGACGGCCCGCCCGAAAAAAGATCTCGGATCGCCTCCCGTGCACTTCTGCCCGTTTCGCGGTGGGAGGGCGATACGCTCTCCTGCAGTGCCTGTGGCTGCGGCTGGTTCTGCGGAGTCTGCGACGGTGATCGCCGCATCCGCGTAGGGGCTGCGGGAGGCAAGTCGTCGTCCGAATGTGCATCATCCACGTCAAGATCAAAGGCATCTAGGTGGTCGTTATCCGCCGCTCGACGCTTCCCGGAAACCTTCAGACCAAACTCGTCTTCACTACCGTCTTCGCTGCCGCTGCGGCTTCCGGGCCGGGCTCCAAGGAGGGTGGCTGTCGACGAACGGTCACGCGGTGTACGAGTATCTTTGGGCCCGAACGCATCTGAGTACATTCGAGTATGCCCTCGACCAGGGCGCGACGATGATGGAGGGCTAGGTCGGCGGCTATTGCCACTGGAGTAACTGTGGTTTCGGTCAAGATCCCGGCGCTGCACTCCGTCTAACGGGATATCTGTCCGGCGGGGAGTATATCCTAAGCCAGTGCCAGAGCGCTTGTAATAAGTGCCTCCGTTGGAGACTTCAATATCGAACTCATCATCAGACTCAATTTCTTCCACCACCCCGGTCCTGATGCCTAGGATCTCCAGCATCCGCGCCGTCGTGCCTCCGAAAATGATAACAGTGAGCACGACGACGACGAGGACAGTAGCACGCAATGCCGGTCCATTCGGGCCTCCGAGACCTGCCGCTAGCGCTACTCCGACAGCGCCACGTAGGCCAGCCCAGAAGAGCATTGCTTGGTAGGAAAATGGCAACTCATCAGCCACTTCCATTCCCCGGCGCCGCGCCCTGTACCGGATAAACCAGTTGATCGCTTTCGACAAGGGAAACACAGCGAGATATCGGGCAAGACAAATACCGACGACAGCCACCAATATGAAAAGAGGCTTAAACCGCAAGTCCCTTTGGACGAGTAAATCGAGTCCTAGGTAAATGAAGATAAAGTTCTCGGACAACTGCGCCATGACTTGGAAGAGATATTTCGTGGTCAGCTGTGTCCGTCGCGACATATTGTAGTACGCGTAATGTTTCAGAGTGATGCCGCAGAATAGGAGCGATACAATGCCTAACACGGTCAGTTTTACGATCAGTGCAATTAGTCCATGATCGAGACATACCGGACAGAAGGACGCCGTTGGAAAAGAAGTAGCTTGCATAGGCTATAAGGACAATCAAGCAGCTCTCAATCTTGGGTTGGCGACGGACATGGGTGTACTTCAGTCCAAGGGCTGTCATGATACCCACAATTACCCCTACCAGCATACTGCCAAAGAAGACAAGCAAGAACAACCCGATGGCTTCAAACAGGTTGAGTATGGAAAGAGACCCTGCTTCGCTGTCCGCATATTTTTGCGCCGTCTCGAACAGAACAATTGCAATGGCATCGTTCAAAATCGACTCGCCGAAAATAACCGTGTACAGCTTTGGCTCGACTTTATAGAGGTTGAATATGGCCAGGATAGTAACAGGATCCGTGGCGGAGAGGGTGGCACCGACTGAGATAGCCTCGACGAACGTTATGCTGAATCCGTCCAGTGGGATCCTCGTCCAGGCAAACAGGACTAGGCCGAGCACAAGGGCCGAGATAAAAGTCCCCGCGAATGCGAACGTAAGGATTGTCCCAATGTTTCGGAAGAAATTCGCTTGGTGTAATTCATATCCGGACGCCAGAATGATGGGGGGGAGCAGGAGGTTAAAAAAGAACTGGTAGTCGAAGGCGACGAAATTCTCGATTGGCGATTCAGTCAGTCGAATGACCAAACCGACGAACATGCCTATCCCACATGAGCATCCGTACTTGCTTCAAAGGTCGCCCAATGCGCTGATCTTGGTTTATACACACCTCCGAAGATCGAAAGAACGGTTTCGTGGACTGCCTCTATCTTCCGTTGTTGAAGGATGTAACTCGTGAATAGCGCAAGCATCAGCAACGTTATCATAATGAAGAGCGCCCAGGAGCTGAAGAACTCCTTGGTTCCGGCCTCCGGAGCATCTGCTGTTAGTTCCACGGTGTCAGATTCAATTCCAGGCATATTCAGAGACAGGTGAAGAGCGCGAACGGGGTGCGTACAATCATCAGGATCGGTATCATAATCGGCAGTCCTTCCTAGAATGCAAATGACCATCAGTAAATCAACCACCCAGTGTCTGTGAACAAGAAGCACGAAAAAGCGAACTGTGGTAGAGACACTCACTGAGAATTGAGTGAAGGGCATTGCCCACTACTTGGCCAGCCATTATTGTACGCTCGTCGCAACCACAGCGGATAACACCTAGCGGTCGGCTTCAGCGGCGATTTGCTCACGCCAGGACCAGGCGCACATAGTAGTCCACTGGCACAGAGTATAGATCCCGGGGGGAGGGTTGGCCAGGCGGGCGCTTTATGGTAGGTGAGATAGTAACCTTTGGGCGTTCAAGGGTCGAGTTCCATCAATGCTCAGTAGTGTATTCAGCGACTCCAGCCCCCAATCATGCCAAGAACATGGCAGGGCTTAGCTAAGCAAACTAAGGGCAGCTCAACTCAATCTATACGAATTCGTCGTTACATAGTATGCAAGTAGGTAGCCTGCATGAAGAGTATTGTTGCCGGGGGGCAGTAGATGATATTTTCAAGATATCAGGAGGAAAAGGCAGGTAAGATGGTTGCCCCGCAGAGAGGAGATGTCTCTACCTACTGATATTGTCCGCTCCAGGTTCCAAGGTTGTGATCAAAATCCCGACCACAGGCCCATCTTTTGAACCGGTCAGTCAGACTACTACTACCTACTAGATAGTACTTGCTTTCCGGCATAATTTCATCAGGTAAATAATGGCCTCCCTCTTAGACTGTATTTACCTATGCTCTGGATTTGACGCAACGGTCAAATTTAAATCCGAGGACGTGTCTGGCGCCTCATGGTCCTAGAAGAGTTCAAGCGCGAACCTAGTATGATACGTTTGGCTATATTTGGTGCAGGTAACAGTAGAGGTGGTAAGATCTGTTTTATGCCGCGCAGGCCTGGGGAGGGGGGAGGGCGTGTCGCTATCCCAGTTTGTCGTCCTCTATAAGTAAGAGTAAAGCTGGGATGAAATGCGAAATATATATGTGAGACACTTGGCGCTACCTAAGTATAAAGGTTAGAAAGACCACAAGGCTACTAGACAGTAGTATTGATCCATACTGAAGGACGGCAAAATCAACACCTCTTTTGCCAGTGTACAGTGTCAAACATTGTTCCATATCCAACAGAACAGGCTCGGGAAAATATACTACGATTGTATACGTCAAGGAGAAGATAGATCGAGGTTGACAGCCACATCGCGGCAGCTGAGGAAGTAGTCCCACCCTTCGTGGCAGGTTAATTTGACTATCGGCTATCTTACAGATCACTAAACAGATGACTAAAATCACATCCAGCATGTTAGCTCAGGGGAAGAGCGCCGGGCTCATAACCCGGAGGTACGTCATTATCCCATCTTAAATACTACTCAGTCGAGCAATTTCTAACAAGCACCAGGTCCCTGGATCGAAACCAGGACATGCTATCCTCAACTTTTTTTTTTCTTGCTTTCTTTCCCCCCCCTGCTCAGATCTTTCAAAAGGCTTCTCTTATTTTGCCTTCTCTCAACTCCACCACCTCCCTTTTTCTCTACCTTGCCCCTCTCCTCTTCTCTTTTCTTTTTTCTTTTTATTTTTTCCCCATCGACTCGTCAAAGCATCTAATACCCCGGAAACTCCGCATAAAAGGATAAAATGTGTTCTTCATAGAGTATCATATGATTGCTACATGCCATCACCATCACTTTAAGCACCTGCTGCGGCACTCGTCTATGACCGCCCTGCCTTCTTCCTCTTCTTTGTACCCTCTGAAAGCCGACTCGTCAACCAAGCGGCAAGCAAAGCAGCACATCCACCAAATCGTAAAATTGAGCCGACACTATCATCATACGGCTCTCCCCGGGGTTTCTGAAAAACCTTAAAAATAGCACTGCAGACCAAGCTCGACAGGACCTGCGGCGCTGAGATGGCGACATTATGGAGGCCCAGCACAATTCCCGCTTGGATAAGGTTATCCTCTTCCTCCTTAGGAGACCTTGAAGAAGCGGTGGTTTCCAGATCATCGTCCTCATCCTCGTTTTCGTCGTCCGCAGAGGCCGTAGCCTGGGAAGACATAGGGGGTAGATTTCGTTCGTCGTAAGTGGCCATTTCTGACCGTCGGCGTCGGGCTCGCCGTTCTTCTTCGAGGGTCGCCACCTCTGCGGAAATCAAGGCGAACGGCGCCCAGAGCGTCAATGCCCAAGGAATGCCGACCAGACCCACTACTACCGTTGCTGCTGCGACAGAGGAGATCAGAGCGGTGCTGAACATGCATATGGCAAAGAGTATTTGGGACAGAAGCCAGGCCCTGCGCAATGTGAGCCCCGGGATCTGTAGCTTATCCAGCCATGCCGGCCGTTCTGAGCCATTTGCTTTATCACCCAGGACCTGGGGATGTAGTTCTGAAACGAGCCCTACTTCAATATCTGAAGTTGACTGTCTCTCGAGACTTAGACATGGTTCGGCGTCGGGATGGTCGTCCGATTCACTCGTGTCGTCGGTAATAACGGGTTTGTAGGTCGGGACAACAAAAACTGGAAGCGTGATATTCGTAACGAAGGAGACTATTGCGTATATGAGAAGGGCAAATGTCCCGACTCGTGTTGCCTCATCCCATGCTTTGTCAATGTCAGGGTCCGAGAGACCCGGATGATCGTTGAAAATGGGATTGACATAGAGTTGTCCAATGTAGGTTGTGGCGTAAAACAGGAACGGAAACCAACCGATCCAGGAAGCGATCTGCACTTCGCAGACTTTGGTAGCTTGAGGGGGCAGATGTTTGATCGACTTGAAGACTTGTCTAAAAAAGGCGACAACACCCAGACCTCCTGAGGAGGGCGGCCCATCAAGCCGGGGATCACGTTCCTTGATATACAAGCAGCTTATACAGAGAGTCACGGTAAGCGACATCGACGCCAATGCGCACAGAATTTGAAATCGCGTGTGCCCTAGAAAGGGGAAGATCTTAGGTAGGTTGATATACCCAAGGATATATCCAATGATATTTCCCACCCCAGTCATCCGACTGGCCCATGCATTGGCGGACTCCTGTTGATGCGAGGGGGCATTATCGACAATGAAACACCGAATTCCGGCTTGGACTATAGCGAATCGTTAACTCCCCATCGGTCATGCGATAACGAAGTCCTCACCGGTGTTTATAGCGAAATCCAAGCACCACATCATAATAGTTGCCACAGCAATGGTTGTTATTTGGGCTCCCTCCGACTTCGGGTCCCCGTCGAAGATCTTGAAGACTCCCCCTACAGCCTCCTTGACCCAGGCAAGAGCAAGGAGAGTCAAGATCGTCACAGCGCCCCCAACCACCATAAACGGCTTCCGTTTACCCCATGATATGCGACAATTATCGCTACGGATTCCAACGTATGGCTGCACTAGGGTCCCCGTGATTGGGCCTGCAATCCAGACAAAGGCGAGAAGGGCCTTGCTCATTCCCAGCGAAAGAAGATAGGGCTATACTTAAGAGTCAGCAGTCGTTCTCGAGGAGCGATGTTCTGTCCTGTCTTACCGAGCCACTCGATAACTCAACTGACCACACAACCTGAAGGCTAGAAAATGTCAGTACCGGCATCAGTACTTGACTCTCCCGAAGGCGGGGGACTACTCACCCCCCAATACTGAGAGTCAACAGAAATAAGTACAAGCTGCTCTTCGTTTCTGGTTTATCATGGACATGTTCATTTCTACTGACCCTCCGGTGCGCAGAAGCTACTGAGTCCATATCGCCATCATCGGATACTCGTGAATTCACCAGAGGAGAAGTCTCATTTGCTGTTCGCTCACCGTCCATCCTCGATGAAAGGTCCACGTCCGACGGCCGATTTCAGTTCTCGACCAGGTGACCCTGGGGAACTTCCAGAACTGAAGCACAGTGTACAAAACCACTGGGTCCAAACAGACGGGACTAAAATGAATCTCACAACAGACTACCAGGGACGCTGGTGATATCTGGTCCTCTAATTCATCAAGCGAGAAATACGGTCGATCTTTGGGCAGATGAGGTGGATGGGAGCTATTCCAAGGGAGGTATATCAGACCGAGGAAAGTATGCGAACAAACCTACACGTGACCTTGTAGGGTAAAGGGGTCAAGCCAGATAGCCAACGATAATAAGCACGCGATATGATCAAAGAATCTGGGGGAATATCGAACGAGCGTTGTTGAGGCTAGTTACATGGAGGCCCAGTCCACAAGTTGATTGATGATGTCAGCTGACAAGATACGCACGTCATGCACGTGAACAGTCCTCGGGATCCCGGCCGAATCATGAGTCCATTTATACTGCCTAGCACATGGTATGAATGGGCCATTAATAGCATGAACTATTACTACACACGGTTATGGGATAAGATGTTGAGAATTCTATTGACATGATTCTTACTATGTAGTATGTACGTCCTTGACCGGGGCCGTCCCACCGCTGTCTCACATAAAAACGTCGTAGCTCGGAAAAGTCTATCCATCAGAGTAAATGCAGTTTTTTGGTCAGAAGCCCCAGGCTCCTGAATACTCGCTTCTTGCGCCCTAGTACAATTCGCATTCCCCCTATGTTCCTCACAAAGACCCTACCACATGACACCAACCCCAGGACTTTCTGGAATTATCCTGTGAACAAAGGAAAAATGGAGTTAAAAGGAAATGATGAACCAGTGAGACCAAAAGCAGCCGGAAACAGTACAGGGATGAGATAAGTCACTGTACATGACGACAACCCTAAAAAAGCAAACATGCACTTCAAGAACATAACAACACAAATAACGAGCAAGTCATATGGCAGCTAGTGAAGAGCTGCCAGCCTGAGAGGGATGGCTTCCAGATCGTAGAACAAAAGTTCCGACGAATTGTTTGACAAGGAAACAGAACAGAGTATAACTTGGAAAGGACAAGAGACATTAAGTTACCAAATATTTGCGAGCAAGGATCATTGCAGGAGGGAGATCCAAAGCAGCCATGACTCCGCAAAGAGTCAGCCACCCAAGCAGCGCGATTAGACATGTTGTTGCAAAAGCTGAGGTGCGATCATATGCGAAGGCATAATTGCGCCCATTGAGGATGATATATCCACGGAAGGTGGTATCGTCGTTACCGTAGCCATGTTGTGGTGGTTGTGCTGGACAGACTCGGACGGTGACGCCTCCTCATCCTGAGAGACGGAGTCAAAATCATCGTTTTCTAGATCTTCCTCATTGGTTAATGGCTGATGGCCATCTTGCTGAGCCTCATGGATCCGACGGTGCCTGAGAAACCTGGTAAGAATCGCAACAGAAACTAAAGGTGGGCGAGGGGACTGACTGTGCCAGATTATCGGATCTGGAGAATGCTTTGTTGCAATATGGGCAGGGGTACGGTCGCTCTTGAGTGTGCGTCCGAACATGCCTAGGTAAGAAGAATCAGTCAGCGGCTAGGGAAATTATGACGGAGCGACCCGCTCACAATGTGGGCCAATGGAATCTGCTGAAACATCAACCGAAGAAACGTACCGTTTCAAGTGTTCTAATCTCTTGAACAGCCGTCCACATGAAGGTATCGGACAGGAGTGTGACTTTTGGGGGTAAGGTCCAATTTCCATCATAGTAGCACTTCGGGCGCGACGGATAGGACCGGTTCCATACCGGTCAGACTTATTGCCAACGCTATTATGGACAGCCGATTCCATGGTTCCGCTTGTGGGGACAACTGATAGATCATCCGGCGTTTGAGCAAGAGGTATAGAGCTTTGCTCGCGGTTTTCATCCATGCTAGAAAGAGGCGTGCCATGACGTGAGATTTCCTGCATCAAGTTCTTTTGGGGAAGAGAGGGTGCGTGATATCCCCCATGACCAGAATGAGGTAATGAATCATGGCCTAAATCCTCCGCTTCGCCTGGAGCAACCGAGTTGGAAACAGAGCGTCGTAAATCGCTAGGCCTATGGGCAGCATAAGAAATTGTGTGAGCACCCGCAGTAGGCGCGGGTGACGAGGTAGCGGAAGCGACAGGGATCGTAACACCGGGTGGGATGGAAGACCTCCGGCGACGTTGTTTATATGTAGGAGATCCTTCTATGACTGAATAAACGTTTGAATGGAAAGTCCTTGGTGGGGCTGGAAAATGTGCGCTTGCGAGATTGGACGGCGGAAGGTGCATCATCGGGTTGAATGCCGCCCCGGAGGAGATATCGGGAATTGCGGTGTACAGGCCAGTATCTTCATTGGCTATATATGCAGGTTCGGCACCCATGTGAATGCCGTGCTGCGGAGGTGTGACTGGTTCGAAGGATAATCCCCGGTTGCTATAGTCCTCATACTGAGAAGAGACAAAGGATGGAGCTGGCGAATACTCGACGAAGGTCGGCATCGAGGAGTGGCGCTGGTGAATACGTGCGATGGGCATTCCGTTGCGGTCGTACTGAATAGCAGCCCCATAATCCATCTCACGTTTAATAATGTT